TTGGCCTTAGAAATCCCTTTCAATCAGTATCCAAATTTCCTTTTAAAATCTTGAAATTTTTATATGTCATAGACACAAGTGTCCTTGACAACTTTCATGAAGGAAGTTTTCTGAAAAGAGACCTGGAAAATTTTATAAAAATTCAGAAAGACATGTCGGTTAGGTGAATAGTAAATCCGGCAGAGTTGTGATGGTCCGAAGATGGACTCCCAAATACCCCAAAACGATCTCTAAAAATTCTAGATTTAATATATGACATGCTTCATTGTTAGGGTCAACTTTCATGAAAAACACCACCTCAGATTCGGCCCACAAAGATCTCCACAAAAATAGCAAAACACAGACGCATAGCAACAACGAATCCGAGAATCAACCAACATGAACCATTCACCAATTCAAGCTCATCTAACTATCCACAGCAATGAATCAACCCCTAACATGTCCATTAGTAATCCCTTAGCCTAGTCAAGGGTTAGGAAGCCACTTACTCAAAGTCTAAGCAAGCAAGACCAGACAAGAAGGGCAGCACAAGTCACGCCTAGCAGCAGCAACTCTGGCAGACATACTGGTGGCTCGGCGGCAGCACTGGTCACTAACGGACCACAGCTAGGATGGGCACGGGGTGGTGGTGACGGTGAGGGGTGAAGCTAGCCAAGAATGAGGGAGATGAAGGTGAGAATGGGAGAGAATGGCGGTGGCGTGAGGTGAGAGCAGCAACAGCGATCGACGGCGGCTCCGGCAACCAGGTGGGCAGACGGCGACGTACACAGCAGTCGAACAATGGCTGAGGGAGGCGGACGAAGCTACTGTTCAGGCCGGAAGGGAGGAGTGGTGACTGAAAGTGAAAATAGGAGGGGGGAGATGGTCTGCCGAATGAGGGAGGGAATGAAGGAGAGAGAGAGAGAGAGAGAGAGAGAGAGAGAGGGAGAGATAGCGAGTTGAGTGACTTGAGTGGGTCAACTATCCCCACTATGACTCAACCAAGGGCTAGGATTAACTAGTCAATCTCATCAAAGATCCAATGGCTCACATTAAAGCTTCTAGAAGAAAGTCAACAAATATCCAAGTGCAAAAGAGGAAATGAGCAAGAGGAGAGAGGGGCATTATGATCCAATATTTTCGGCTAGCATGGGGGCAGTAACTTTACCAAAATGCCCTTACACTTTTCAAATAAACTCAAATAATCCCAGGGGCAAAATGGCCATTTTCCACTCCCGATCCAAATTTCACTTTTCCGACAAATCCGAGTAGCTCTAAGGTTGGCCATGCCAAATGTGACATCGTCCAATGAATTAGTAGTGGCTTTCGAGAAATTCGATTCCCAAGTCCGGATTCCAAGTAATGGTCAAATTCGATTAAATGCAATTTTAGTGCGTCTCAAACTAACGGGCAACTTTTAGGAGTTACGCGTATCAACTCATGGCTAATTCGATATCGAGCCACATCTAAGTTTACTAGAGCCATGGCAATCTCGGTTGTCATGTAATTGCAAGGGTCAATCACTAGTTCCAATCGACGCGATCCTTCGGATTAGGTTTAGGATCGTTTGAAATTCATACAATGGTCAAGCGGAATCACTCACGATCCAATTGTATATCATTTGCGAATCGTTCCGTAACCATCCTTGGATCGATCTATAATGACCCAAAATATCTCCTCGTCAATCCTTATGGTCGAAGTGTCGATCCATGGCCAAATTCATAGGTCCACATACTTAATTCCTAGCTATCCATTTCTTAACGGTTAGTCTTCTCAAGAGTGATCAATTCCGAGTGAGATTTAACTAAAGTGCATCGATGAGATAATCATTTCACAAATTCCGAAAATGGGTCGAATTTCAGAATGTCACAACTCTTCCCCCCTTACAAAAATTTCATCCTCGAAATTTACAATCAACTACACTACTCAAATAAATGGGGGTGCTGACGTCTCATGATTTCTTCACTTTCCCAGGTAGCTCTTTCGATACCATGATGTTGCCAAACGACTTTAACCAATGGGATTGTCTTATTCCGCAAAACTTGTTCTTTTTTGTCCTCTATCCGAATAGGTCTCTCCAGGTACGACACCCTGTCGTCCACGTCTATTTTTTCATAATTCAGCACATGGGTCGGATTCGGTTCATACTTTTTCAGCATGGACACGTGGAAGATGTTATGAACTTGAGACAAATTCGGCGGCAAGGCATGCGACATTCTAAAATTAGACTCACTTGAGATTTATGAAATGGATGATTTTATGGACGTGCTTGTAGTTAGATCTCGCCCGGAACTGATCACTCCTAGAATACTAACCGTTAGGGAATGGCTAATTAGAGATTTAAATTCGCGCGATCAAAGAAACTCGATCGTGAACCGACTTTCGACCATAAAAATTGTCGAGGTGACATTTTGAGCCAATGTAGGCCGATCCAAGCATAATTAGGGATCAATTCGCCGCTGTCATACGAGTGGATCGCGGGTGATTCCGCTTGACCACGAGATGAGTTGACAAATGATCCTAAACCTATACCAAACAATCGTGCCCGTCGGAACTAGCGATCGATCCTCACGATTACGTGACCACCGAGGTCGTCACGATCCGAGTGAACTTAAACGTGGCTTGATTCAGTATCAACCACGGGTCGAATATGCGAATTTCCTAAAAGCCACCCGTTAGTTTGAGACACGCTCAAGTTACGTTATTTAAATTTAGTCATTGATTAGAGACCAAGTTTGGGCATTGGAAATTCCGAAGGTCACGACAAGATAATTGGACGACGTTGTTATTAGCTTGGTCGGTCTCAGATTTGTCCGGATTCTTAAGAAAATTCGAATTTGGGCAAGAAATGAAATATGACCGTTCTGCCCCTGGGACTTTGTTAAGGCCAAGTATAATGTGAGAAGGGCATTTTGGTCATTTCACACCAACTTTAGAGATAAAAATTTTTGGATAATTTTGCGCTTGGATTTTTGTGAAATTCCAATTTTGCCCTTGGATATTTTTGGCAAGAGTTAATCTTGACTGTTGATCTTAGGATAAGGATTAATCGTGGCCATTGGATGAAAAGTAGAGAAGAGGGTAGGATAGTCAATTTGCTAGGGGTAGACACCAATTATTGGTGTAAATAAGCCTTTCTTCTCATTTTCTCTCTCTCATTCTCTCATTCTCTCTCTCTCGGCAACCTCTCCCTCTCACTCGCTCTCGGCCGAGCCTTCCCCTCCCACCGTGACCGTGGCCGACCGGCCAAGCCAGCCGTCGCCGCCGTTTCGTCGATCCACCGTTCTCCCCTCCGTCTCGCCACATCACCGCCACCACCGTCCCTCTCTCTCTCCTATTTTTCTCTTCACCGAAACACCACCACCAGCCTTCATTCAGTCCAGCCCAGCCGACGAAGACCAGCTGCTCATCCGGCCACCGTCCGCAGTCCAGCCGCCGCCATCGCCGTCCATTCGCCGGGTGACCGCCGGCTTGCCGTTTCCCCCCTTTCTGCCCGAGCTAGCCTAGGACTTCAAGTAAGTGGCATCCTAAACTCTACTTAGGATATTGAGTACTAACGGACATGATTAGGGGCTGAATCTAGTTAATTAGTGGCTGTTTAGGGGTTATTTTGGTAGGTTGAGTTGAGGGTTGATCTTGGTTGATTTGTGAGTGAAATTGTGATGGTTTCGGGGCTGATTTGTTGCTGAATTGGTTGCTGGAAATCGTGGTTTGAAATGATGAGTGTATGGTTCGATTTGGGGACTAAACGTGTCGGTTTGATACGTGGTACCGTGGCTGGTTTGTGTGGTTATTGTGGCTTGAAATAGACATGAATATATTGATTTGATGCTCATAATAGTGGCTGTGATTGTGGGTCTAATGGCGACCTTGCATGCTCGTCGAATTGTGGAACAATTAGTTGAAATGTGGACCCGTTTCTATGTGCATGGGCTGAATTGGATTGGCTGGAAATTGGGCTTATTTGTGTGTCAATTGAGCATGTGAAATGCGTGAGGTTCGTATGATGTTTGAGCGTGTGGATGGGTGAAAATTTTATGTGATATGTCGTGCGTGTAGTCACGAAAGTCCCTGAGGCGTGTAAGGTAACGCGGGGAATTGAGCCGTCCTGAGGCATGTACTTTAACGCGGGACGATGCCCGGTATTACCGGAAGACCGCCAACCTGAGGCGTGTTCGTTAACGCGGGTTGTACCGTAGGTGGAGGATGTTGAGCCTGAGGCATGTACTGTAACGCGGGCAAGAGATATAGCCTGAGGCGTATACTGTAACGCAGGCTAAGGAGTGTTGTGAATTTGAAATGGTCGTATGTGAACCGTGGATTTAAGATGGACCTGAGGCGTAATTACGCGGGTCGTGGGTAAGTTTAATGAAAATAGTGTGGCGAGGCATGAACGAGTGTGTGAAACGCGGAATTGGAAATGCCATATGTTCGACTTGTGTTTTGGGCATGAAATTAATTTGGAATGTGCATGTGGTTGGGAATTTGTGCAATTGAGACTAACGTGCAGATTGTACGCATTAGAAGCCCATGTAAGTGCAATTTTGTGCCTGTTATGTGGTTGTTGAGTGTGATTGTGTTTGAATTTGTCTGGAGGTACGTGTAGCCTAAGTGGGGCTTAGGGTGTTTACTTGCTGAGACGTGTCTCATGGTTGTTTAACCAAACCATTTCAGAATCCCGGGCTGGACCATGAATCTTCCATCGCCACCACCTTAGCGTTTTGGTATACCGATGCACACCGATCATGACGTGGTAGAGTACCCGATAGATGATAATATGGCTTGGATCAAGCATACCACCATAGTCTGGGTAGATATTGGACAACCCCTTTGGCAAGCCCACACTTATACCGCCTAGTGTTTTCGGGATGGTCTGGACGAGTTCGGTCCTGTTCGAGGCTTTGATGTCCCTTTTGATGGAGTAGGAGACTGGAATCCGTCAGCTATACCCCTTCCTGATGGTGAGATGACTAGCATTGAGACTAGCCTCACATAGTCAGGACATCAGTCTATACCTGCAGCACCCGAACCTTCAGTGGCTGAGCCTAATCTGGAGCCGGAAGAGTCACAAGCAGGGTTCGACCAGATGGATGTGGATTTAGGTACAGTGCCAAAGGAGGAACCCGAAGAAGAAGAGCTCGAAGAGGAACCTGAGAAGGAACCAGAAGAAGAGCCAGAGGAAGAACCAGATGAGGAGTCTGGAGAAGAGGAACGAATTGAGTTTCCGTTAGAGTCGGGGGATGATGACAACCCGATTGAGATCGAGGCGGATTCGGAGTCTTCAGAGGATCAGGTGGCTCAGGGGGAATCGGATTCGGGTTCTGGAGAAACCGACTCGGAGTGGACGTCGTCTAGAAGGCGTAGGGGTTAGTTTAGGGGTAGGGTAAATCCTTTTTGAAGTGTCCCATTTTTGGAATAGAGCATACCCAGACTACTGGTCCTTTTTTATATCGGTGGTGTAAACTTTAGAAGCCGGTGTGCATGTATATTATGTGTATTGTAAATGGTGTGTATTGTATAAATTTGACTCGGTAATGAATGTATATTCTCCCTATTACCCCTAACTGATTATTGTCTGGGTGTTTGTTGCTTCTAGTAGTGCTTTATCTCTGGTTGTGTGGGGTCGGCGACATCTTGGGACGTCGCGATATTCGACCATAGAGGTATGTTGCGGGCTCGATGGGGTTCGAGGCGTGACATCCCTCGTTGATTTGGTATTAGAGCAAGGTCAGCTCGATCCGAGTTGGTCAAAGTCTGGAGTGATAAGGAGCGACGACTTTTGGGGTGGTTGACTAGGGAGACCTTAGCGAGTCATAGTATGGAATGAGCTACGCGTGCCTCCAGATTGTTTGTTGTGATTACTGAGTGAAATGAGTGTTATAACGATTGGAATGCAGGTGCATCTGGACCTGAGGTAAGTGCACGGACCTTGCTGATTGTGGCCTTGTGTTGTTGTGATTAATTACCTGCTGAGTGAATTATTGTGTTAATTCGCTGCCTAGGACTAGACTGGTATAGTTGGCCTAGGTTTCTAATTCCTGAGTGGAATTATAGCAGGTAGGTGAGTGGTAGGAAATCTTGAGGATGAGTTCGAGAGGTAGAGGGACAGGGGGTCAATCAAGTTCGCGAGCCCGACCTGCGGGAGATCCGAGAATAGATGCGGTCATGAGAACCCTAGAAGAGATTGGTAATCTGATAGGACGGCAGACTCAGGAACGAGCTGCCACTATTGCCCAAGCTGCTGAGGCCGCTGTGGCCGCCGTCGCCAATAATAACAATGGCAATCAAGGACAGGGGCAAGTGAATGTGAATAGGCAAATGCATCAACTAGTTGAGCAGTTATTGAAATTAAAGCCCCCTAAGTTCGATGGTAAGGGCGACCTTGAGGTTGCATCGCTTTGGGTAGAGGAGTTAGAAAAGGCCTTTGAGGTATTAGGGTGCACCGAGGAAGAGAAAGTGACCTTGGCGGTGTACCAGCTCCAAGGAAGTGCGAGTGATTGGTGGAAAGCCACCAGAGGAAGAGTGTTCCCAGCTGGTGCTGCCCAGACTTGGGCAATGTTTGTGGAAGTCTTCAATGGTAAGTACTTTTCTGAGAGTGCCCGGGAACAGAAGTTAGCTGAGTTTACGAGGCTTCGTCAGGGACAGAGGACAGTGGACCAGTATGAGGTTGAATTTGCTCGGTTATCTAAGTTTACCCCAAGGATGGTGGAGGACCTGTTGGATAGGGCTCGGAGGTTCCGAGACGGTTTGAAGCTGGACCTTCGTAACCAAATGATTTCGCTGAATTTGAGGGATTATAACGAGATCTATGATCGGGCCCAAGCAATCGAACGTGACTTGGCGGATAGGGCTGCCGCTTCTGGGTCAAGATTTGCCCCGGGTAGGGACAACCGCCACCTTGGGAAGAGGCCAATGGCGAGTAATCGACGTTTCGTCCCTCCTGTTAGAAGGAATATTGGGAAACCAAACCGTTTTCAGAATGGTCCATGTCGGATGTATGGAGAAAGACGTGGAAATGGACCTTGTCCGAATAGGGGCAGAGCCTGTTTCGGATGTGGCGGGTTTGGCCGTCAGATAAGGACTTGCCCTAACATCAGGCAGAATAGGTCGCCTGCATTGCCGCCACCCCGGAACGGGAACCAAATTGGAGTTGCCCCGTCGGCTAATCAGAATAGGCCACCGGCCCAAAGACGGGTGTACGCCATGGCACGGAGAGAGATTGAGAACACACCAGGGGTGGTTATAGGTACGGTTTCTTTATGTGATGATGCTGCATATGCTTTGTTTGACCCTGGGGCGTCACATTCGTTTATATCAGAACAGTTTGTTAAATTGACTGGTATAGAACCGCAATTGCTTGATGTTGTGTTGTATGTTACCACTCCACTGAATGATAGGGTGCTAGTCTCGTTAGGGTGCCCGAATTGTAAGATTGTGATTGGTTATAGAGAGGAAAAGATAGATCTAGCGGTTTTAGCCATGTATGACTTCGATGTGATCATGGGTATGGATTGGTTAGTTAAGCAGAGGGCTGTTATGGATTGTAGTAACAGGGTGATTCAATTTAATCCGGTTGGACATCCGAAATTCGAATTTGTGGGAAATCGAGGAGGAACCTCGATCCCTTGGATTTCGTCGCTAGAAGTGACTAAGTTGTTGAACGAAGGTGTCAAGGATTTCTAGCGTCGGTGGTTGATTCGACGGCTGAGGAGCCGAGGCTAGAGGACATAGCCGTGGTGTGCGATTATCCCGATGTCTTTCCTCAGGAATTACCGGGATTGCCACCTGAAAGGGAAGTAGAGTTTGTAATCGAGTTGGCCCTAGGATTGAGCCAATCTCGAAGGCACCTTATAGATTGTCGTTGTCGAAGTTAAAAGAGTTAAAGGTGCAAATGCAGGAGTTATTGGACAAAGGTTTCATTCGTCCAAGTGCGTCTCCATGGGGAGCGCCAGTCTTATTTGTGAGGAAGAAGGATGGGTCATTAAGGTGATGTATTGATTACCGACGGTTAAATCAAGTGACGATCAAGAATAAATATCCCCTGCCAAGGATAGATGATTTGTTTGATTAGTTACAAGGGGCTTCGGTATTTTCTAAGATTGATTTGAGGATGGTATATCATCAGTTGAGGATTAGGAAAGAGGACATATCAAAAACGGCATTCAGGACGAGATATGGACACTATGAATTTACAGTAATGCCGTTTGGGTTGACTAATGCCCCTGCTACCTTTATGGATTTAATGAATCAGGTGTTTAAGGAGTTTTTAGATCGGTTCATCATAGTCTTTATAGACGATATATTGGTGTACTCGAAGAGCTTGGAAGAGCACGAGTTCCATTTGAGTAAAGTTTGATAGACCTTAAGGGAACACGAATTGTACGCCAAGTTTAGTAAGTGTGAGTTCTGGCTTAATCGAGTAGCATTTCTTGGACACGTGATCTATGGGGAAGGAATCTCAGTAGATCCAGCAAAGATTGAAGCTGTAATAAAGTGGCCGAGACCAATGACGGTAACAGAGGTTCGAAGCTTTTTAGGTTTGGCAAGATATTACCGACGTTTCGTGGAAGGGTTTTCAGCAATAGCAACACCGTTGACACATTTGTTGAAAAAGGAAACAAGGTTTGAATGGACCGACAAATGTGAAAGGAGTTTTCAAGAACTAAAGCATAGATTGACAACGGCGCCGGTGTTGACTATTCCATTAGGACTAGAAGGATATTAAATTTATAGTGATACGTCATTGAAAGGACTAGGGTGCCTACGCATCAAGACAGTTGAGACCGCATGAGTTAAACTACCCGACGCATGATTTGGAATTGGCCGCAATAATATTCACTCTTAAGATTTGGCGACATTATTTATGCGGAGAGAAATTTCAGATATATACAGACCATCAGAATTTGAAATATTTGTTTTCTCAAAAGGAGCTTAATATGAGACAGCGTCGTTGGATGGAGTTACTTAAGGACTATGATTGTGATATTTTGTATCACCCCGGAAAGGCTAACCGGGTAGCTGATGCATTGAGTCGGAAGTCAAGCATCGCACACTTGATGGTCAAGGAATGGACTTTGTTGGAAGGAGTGCGAGACTCGGAGTTTAAGTTTGAAGTAAGTTAAGTCTCGAGTTTGTTTACCACTTTAAGAATCTAACCAGAAATCCAGACTAAGATTAAGGCTTTACAGTCTACGGATCAAGAAATTCAAAAGATTCTGGAAATGAATGCTACTAAGAGGAAGCCGGACTTCCAAGTATCTGAGGACGGGATATTGAAGTTCCGGGGAAGGTTGTGTGTGCCCGATGATGTTGAACTTAAGAAAGAGATTTTGTCAGAAGCACATCGTAGTAATTATAGTATCTATCCGGGAAGTACGAAAATGTATCAGAATTTGAGACAGTATTATTGGTGGAATGGCATGATGGTGGACATAGCTAAGCACGTGGTTAAGTGTCTGACGTGCCAGCAAGTGAAAGCGCAACATTATAAGCCCGGAGGATTGTTGCGACCTTTAGAAATCCCAGAATGGAAATGGGAACATATTACTATGGATTTTGTAATGGGATTACCGAGGAGCCAAAGAGGGCATGATTCCATTTGGGTGATTGTCGATAGGTTGACAAAGTCGGCGCACTTCTTGGCCGTATGAAAGGACTTCGCATTGGATCGTTATGCTGAGTTGTACGTACAACTGATAGTTCGTTTGCATGGGGTACCGGTGATGATTACTTTGGATTATGATCCTAGGTTTACTGCCAACTTTTGGAAAAGTCTGCAGACAGCATTAGGATCAAAGCTGCAGTTTAGTACATCTTACCATCCACAAACGGATGGCCAGTCTGAGAGGACGATTCAGACCCTAGAGGATATACTTCGGGCATGTGTATTAGATTTTCAAGGTAAGTGGGAAGAGCAATTGCCCTTAGCGAAATTCGCGTGCAATAATAGTTTTCAGCAGAGTATCGGGATGGCGCCATTTGAAGCGCTTTATGGCAGAGCATATAGGACGCCCGTGTATTGGGACTAAGTGGGAGAAAGGAGTATAACCGGGCCAGAATTAGTTCAACAATCAGTTGAGGCGGTTAAGATCATTCGTGAAAGGCTGAAAACAGCTCAAAGTTGTCAAAAGAGTTACGCAGACAGAAGGCGAAGACCTTTTGAATTTCAAGTAGGGGATCACGTATTCCTTAAGGTATCGCCCATGAGAGGATTATCTCGATTTGGCAAGAAAGGGAAGTTGAGTCCGAGGTACGTGGGACCCTTTGAGATTTTGGAAAGGATTGGAGACTTAGCTTATCGCCTTGCATTACCGCCAAATTTGTCGCAAGTGCATAATGTATTCCACGTGTCGATGCTGAGAAAATATGAACAGGACCCAACTCATGTATTGAACTATGAAGAGATAGAAGTTGACGACAGGGTGTCATATGTCGAAAGGCCAATAAGGATCGAAGATCGGAAAGAACGAGTTTAAGGAACAAGACGATTCCGATTGTCAAAGTTGTTTGGGAACATCATGGGACAGAAGGCGCTACTTGGGGAAAGTGAATAGCTAATACAATGTCAATACCTCCACTTGTTTGAGTAGTTGGGTTAACTTGTAAATTTCGAGGACGAAATTTTTGTAAGGGGGGAAGAATTGTGACATTCTGAAATTAGACCCACTTGATATTTATGAAATGGATGATTTTATGGACGTGCTTGTAGTTAGATCTCGCCCGGAACTGATCACTCCTGGGATACTACCCGTTAGGGAATGGCTAATTAGGGATTTAAATTCGCGCGACCAAAGAAACTCGATCGTGAACTGACTTTTGATCATAAAAATTGTCAAGGTGACATTTTGAGCCAATGTAGGCCGATCCAAGGATAGTTAGGGATCAATTCGCCGCTGTCATACGAGTGGATCGCGGGTGATTCCGCTTGACCACGAGATGAGTTGACGAATGATCCTAAACCTATACCAAACAATCGCGCCCGTCGGAACTAGCGATCGATCCTCGCGATTACGTGACCACCGAGGTCGTCACGATCCGAGTGAACTTAAACGTGGCTTGATTTAGTATCAACCACGGGTCGAATATGCGAATTTCCCAAAAGCTACCCGTTAATTTGAGACACGCTCAAGTTACGTTATTTAAATTTAGTCATTGATTAGAGATCAAGTTTGGGCATTGGAAATTCCGAAGGTCACGACAGGATAATTGGACGACGTTGTTATTAACTTGGTCGGTCTCAGATTTGTCCGGATTCTTCAGAAAATTCGAATTTTGGCAAGAAATGAAAAATGACCGTTTTGCCCCTGGGACTTTGTTAAGGCCAAGTATAATGTGAGAAGGGCATTTTGGTCATTTCACACTAACTTTAGAGATAAAAATTTTTGGACAATTTTGCCCTTGGACTTTTTGTGAAATTTCAATTTTGCCCTTGGATATTTTTGGCAAAAGTTAATCTTGGCCGTCGATCTTAGGATAAGGATTAATCGTGGCCATCAGATGAAAAGTAGAGATGAGGGTAGGATAGTCATTTTGCTAGGGATAGACACCAATTATTAGTGTAAATAAGCCTTTCTTCTATTTTCTCTCTCTCACTCTCTCATTCTCTCTCTCTCTCTCGGCAACCTCTCCCTCTCACTCCCTTTCGGCCGAGCCTTCCCCTCCCACCATGACCATGGCCAACCGGCCAAGCCAGCCATCGCCGCAGTTCCGTCGAGCCACCGTTCGCCCCTCCGTCTCGCCACATCACCGCCACCACCGTCCCTCTCTCTCTCCTATTTTTCTCTTCCCCGAAACACCACCACCAGCCTTCATTCGATCCAGCCCAGCCGAGGAAGACCAGCCACTCATCCGGCCACCGTCCGCAGTTGAGCCGCCGCGTCACCGTCCGTTCGCCGGGTGACCGCCGGCTTGCCATTTCCCCCCTTCTACCCGAGCTAGCCTAGGACTTCAAGTAAGTTGCATCCTAAACTCTACTTAGGATATCGGGTACTAACGGACATGATTAGTGGCTGAATCGGGTTAATTAGTGGCTGTTTAGGGGTTATTTTGGTAGGCTGAGTTGGGGGTTGATCTTGGTTGATTTGTGAGTGAAATTGTGATGGTTTCGGGGCTGATTTGTTGCTAAATTGGTTGCTAGAAATCGTGGTTTGAAATTATGAGTGCATGGTTCGATTTGGGGACTAAACGTGTCGGTTTGATACGTGGTACCGTGGCTGGTTTGTGTGGTTATTGTGGCTTGAAATAGACATGAATATATTGATTTGATGCTCATAATAGTGGCTGTGATTGTGGGTCTAATGGCGACCTTGCATGATCGTTAAATTGTGGAACAATTAGTTGAAATGTGGACCCGCTTCTATGTGCATGGGCTGAATTGGATTGGCTGGAAATTGGGCTTATTTGTGTGTCAATTGAGCATGTGAAATGCGTGAGGTTCGTATGATGTTTGAGCGTGTGGATGGATGAAAAATTTATGTGATATGTCGTGCGTGTAGTCACGAAAGTCCCTGAGGCATGTAAGGTAACGCGGGGAATTGAGCCATCCTGAGGCGTGTACTTTAACGCGGGACGATGCCCGGTATTACCGGAAGACCGCCAACCTGAGGCGTGTTCGTTAACGCGGGTTGTGCCGTAGGTGGAGGATGTTGAGCTTGAGGCGTGTACTGTAATGCGGGCAAGAGACATAGCCTGAGGCATGTACTGTAACGCGGGCTAAGGAGTATTGCGAATTTGAGACGCTCGTCTGTGAACCGTGGATTTAAGATGGACCTGAGGCGTAATTGCGCGGGTCGTAGGCAAGTTTAATGAAAATAGTGTGGTGAGGCATGAACGAGTGTGTGAAACGCGGAATTGGAAATGCCATATGTTCGACTTGTGTTTTGGGCATGAAATTAATTTGGAATGTGCATGTAGTTGGGAATTTATGTAATTGAAACTAACGTGCAGATTGTACGCATTAAAAGCCCAGGTAAGTGCAATTGTGTGCCTGTTATGTGGTTGTTGAGTGTGATTGTGTTTGGACTTGTCTGGAGGTACGTGTTAGCCTAGGTGGGATTTAGGGTGTTTACTTGCTGAGACGTGTCTCATGGTTGTTTAACCAAACCATTTCAGAACCCCGACCTGGACCATGAATCTCCCACCGCCACCACCTCAGCGTTTTGGCATACCGATGCACACCGTTCATGACGTGGTAGAGTACCCGATAGATGATAATATGGCCTGGATCAAGCATACCACCGTAGTCTGGGTAGATAGAGGACAACCCCTTTAGCAAGCCCACACTTATACCGCCTGTGTTTCCAGGATGGTCTGGACGAGTTCGGTCTTGTTCGAGGCTTTGATGTCCCTTTTGATGGAGTAGGAGACTGGGATCCGTCAGCTATACCCCCTCCTGATAGTAAGATGACTAGCCATGAGACTAGTCTCGCACAGTCAGGACATCAACCTGCACCTGCAGCACCCGAACCTTCAGTGGCTGAGCCTGATCTAGAGCCGGAAGAGTCACAAGCAGGGTTCGACCTGATGGATATAGATTTAGGTGCAATGCTAGAGGAGGAACTCGAAGAAGAAGAGCCCGAAGAGGAGCCTGAGAAGGAATCAGAAGAAGAGCCAGAGGAAGAACTATATGAGGAGTCAGAAGAAGATGAACGAATTGAGGTTCCGTTAGAGACGGGGGATGAAGACAACCGGATTGAGATCGAGGCTGATTCGGAGTCTTCAGAGGATCGGGTGGCTTAGGGGGATTCGGATTCGGGTTCTGGAGAAACCGACTCAGAGTGGACGCCGTCTAGAGGGTGTAGGGGTTAGTTTAGGGGTAGGGTAAACCCTTTTTGAAATGTCCCATTTTTGGAATAGAGCATACCCAGACTACTGGTCCTTTTTGATATCGGTGGTGTAAACTTTAGAAGCCGGTGTGCATGTATATTATGTGTATTGTAAATGGTGTGTATTGTATAAATTTGACTCGGTAATGAATGTATATTCTCCCTATTACCCCTTTCTGATTATTGTCTGGGTGTTTGTTGCTTCCGCTAGTGCTTTATCTTTGATTGTGTGGGGTCGGCAACATCCTGGGACGTCGCGATATTCGACCATAGAGGTATGTCGCGGGCTCGATGGGGTTCGGAGCGTGACAAGGCAAGTCGATAAGCCAGAGTCCCAATCTTTTCTAAAATTTCAAACGAACCTACGTACCTTGGACTCAACTTTCCTTTCTTTCCAAATCGAGACATTGCTCACATTGGTGACACCTTAAGGAAGATATGATCTCCCACTTGAAATTCTAAAGTTCTACGTCTCCGATCCGTATAATTCTTTTGACGACTCTGAGCGGTCTTAAGCCTGTCTCGAATGATCTTAACTGCCTCAAATGATTGCTGTACTAGCTCTGGACCCGTTATGCTTCGTTCCCCAACTTCATCCCAACAAACTGGAGTTCTGCAAGCTCTGCCATACAATGTTTCAAATGGTGCCATTCTGATACTCTGCGGATAGCTGTTGTTATAGGCAAACTCGATCAAATACAACTGTTCTTCCCATCCTCCTTTGAAATCTATCATGCAGGCTCGTAACATGTTCGCTAGTGTCTGAATCGTCCTCTCAGACTGACCATCCGTCTGCGGATGATAGATTGTGATATACTTCAGCTTCATTCCCATAGCCGTCTGAAGACTTTTCCAAAACGTGGCTATAAACTTAGGGTCTCTGTTTGACGTAATCGTCACTAGCACTCTATGGAGATGGACTATTTGTCACATATACAACTTGGTGTACCTATCCATTGCGAAGTCCTTTTGCACTGCCAGATAGTGTGCCGACTTAGTTAATCTGTCTACGATAACCCAAATTAAGTCGTGGCCTCTCTGACTCCTTGGTAAACCCATGACGAAGTCCATGGTGAAATGCTCCCATTTCATTCGGGGATTTCCAATGATCGTAACAATCCACCATGCTTGCAATGTTGCGCCTTCACTTGTTGACACGTTAGGCACTTTGCCACGTGCTTGGCTACGTCCACTTTTATTCCGTTCCACCAGTAATATTGACGCAAATTCTGATATATCTTAGTACTGCCTGGATGAATATTGTAGTTACTGCGATAAGCTTCTACTAAGAATTCCTCCTTAAGCTCCGCATCATTTGGCACGCACAGTCGCCCATGAAACTTTAAGATTCCGTCTTCGGAGACTTGAAAGTCAGTTTTTCTCTTAGTCGCATCCATGCTCAAAATCTTTTGCACCTCAGGGTCCGTAGATTGCAATACCTTAATCCTCGCCTGAATCTCCGGTTCAATCCTCAAAGTAGTCAACAGACTCGAGAGATGTTCTACCTCAAACTTAAATTCCAAATCCCGTAGTCCTTCTAGCAGAGTCCACTCTTTAACCATCATATGCGCGATGCTCGATTTCCAAATAAGTGCATCCACCACTTTGTTAGCCTTCCCAGGGTGGTACAAGATGTCACAGTCGTAATCCTTAAGGAGTTCCATCCAACGGTGTTATCTCATATTTAGCTCCTTTTGAAAAAAACAAGTACTTTAAACTCTGATGGTCCGCGTAGATTTAAAACCTTTCCCCATAAAGATATTGACTCCAAATTTTCAACGCAAAGTTGATAGCTGTAAGATCCAAATCATGCATCGGGTGGTTCAGCTCGTGAGGCCTTAATTGTCACGATGCATATAAAACCACTCTCCCATGTTGCATTAGAATACATCCCAATCCCTTTAGCGACACATCACTGTAGATCTTATATCCTCCGGGACCTGATGGTATCGTCAACACTGTTGCGGTAGTCAACTTATGCTTCAGCTCTTGAAAACTCTTTTCACACTTGTTTGTCCATGCGAATCTTGTTTCCTTCTTTAGTAGACGTGTCAAAGGAGTGGCTATTGCAGAGAACCTTTCCACGAATCTTCTATAATAGCCCGCAAGTCCTAGAAAGCTTTGAACCTCTGTCACTGTTGTAGGCCTCAACCAATTCGTGACTGCTTCGATCTTAGTTGGATCCACTGAAATCCCATCTCCGGAGATCACATGTCCAAGAAATGACACTCGATTCAACCAGAACTCGCACTTACTAAACTTGGCATAAAGTGCGTATTCTCTTAAGGTCTATAGAACCATTCTTAGATGTTGCTTATGTTCCTCCGGGCTCTTTGAATACACCAAGATGTCGTCAATGAACACAATGACAAACTGATCCAAGAATTCCTTAAACACCCGATTCATTAAGTCCATAAAGGCGGCTGGGGCATTAGTCAATCTAAACGGCATAACAGTAAACTCATAATGCCCATATCTCGTTCGAAACGCCGTTTTCGGTATATCCTCCTTCTTGATTCTCAATTGATGGTAACCAGTCCTTAAGTCGATCTTAGAGAACACCGATGCCCCTTGTAACTGATCGAATAGGTCATCTATCCTTGGTAGTGGATACTTATTCTTAACGGTCACTTGATTCAACTGCCAATAGTCAATGTATAAGCGCAATGACCCATCATTTTTCCTCACAAAGAACACTGGTGCTCTCCACGGCGATGCACTTGGACGAATAAATCCCTTATTTAGTAGTTCTTGCATATGAACCTTCAATTCTTTCAACTCTAACAATGCCATTCTGTAGGGCGCTCTAGATATTGGCTCCGTCCCAGGTGCCAACTCAATTACGAATACCACTTCTCTTTTAGGTGGCAATCCCAGCAACTCCTCAGGAAAGACATCGGGGAAATTGCACACCACGGCTATGTCCTTTTGTCACATCCCGATTTTTGGGCCTGGGAAACCGCAGGTAAATTGTAATATCCTCAATTTCAGTCCCTGGGAAATGGCTATGGTTTAAGTTTGATGGTTTTCCAATCAGAACTAAATTGTTTTCTCTTGTTTTGGAAAACCCTATTTCGGATCCTTTGTACCCCTTCGTTTTGTTATTTTTGAGGAGACTTTTGTGATCCGAATTTTAGAATACTTCCTTCTTGAAAATTGTTCCAAACATCTTGAAGTTTTACATACTTTAATTTCATAATTTTTGGAGTTTATATGTATGGTACGATGGCCTCATTTTTGGACCGTGTGAAACTGTCCAGAATGGGTATTTCGGTGATGTTCACACCGTATTTATTTTCTACAAGCTTTTCTGGGCCGAATTTGGAAAAGTTTCCTTCACAAAAGTTGTTGAGAACGTCCTTTTCTATAACATGTATAAATTTGGGAATTTTCCGAGATGATTTGAATTCTAGACAGAGCTTACTTTAAGAAACTAGAATGCTGTTCCAGTGAACTGTTTTTAGTCTGTTTTTGAGCTACTAAAAATGGTGTCTACAGAGAGATTCAGATTTCGTGTTCTCATGAAAAATGTTTTTTAAGGTCTTTTTTATGACATATTCAAATTTGAGAATTTTCGGAGTCCATTTATTATGTTTTCAAGTCCGATTTCGTGAACAGTGCAAAGTTGTCCGGTTTTGTCAGATTTCAAAGATTTATCAATTTCTATATGAGAACGTTGGAATTTGGACTTGGTGTCTTCTGGTGATTTAAAGTACACGTTCTGAGCTTTCAAATGAGATATTTTATACTTTGATTGGAGAAAACCCTAGAAAGTTTGACTAAGTCAAACCTTATCATCTTCATCATTACTCTCATTTATTGCTTGGCCTTATTTTCAACAAGCCATTATGAAGCCATTAATTGAAGTCTTGGCCATCAAGTATTGACCAAGAAAGGGAGAGGAAGCCATGGCAAGGAGGGGGGAGAGAGAGAGAGGGTCACGGCCAAGCTTGAGGAGAGAGAGAGGAAGACATAATTAGTCATCTTCTTCATGATTTTTGGCTTAGGCTATTAATGCTTGGATGACACGCGCGCTTACCTCACCTCCCCGACGACACGTGCGCCTACCTCATCCAAGCTTTGGCCCCAAGTTTGTCTCTCTATAAATAGAAAGAAAGGCCATTCGGCCAAAAAGGAGAGAGAGAGAGAGAGAATAGCCGTGAGGGAGAGAGAGAGAGAGAGAGAGAGAGGCCATTCGGCCAAGAGAGAAAGAGCCGAAATAGAGAGAGAAAGAGAAAGAGAGAGAGAGAAAACCGAGAGAGAGAAAGTCATGGGAAAGAAAAAAAAGGGTCGACACCGTGAGTTGCCGAGATCCCAAGGCCGTCGTCTTTCCTATCCATTTTCTACTCTCTAGTTCTGGTTTCGTTAAGAGTAAGTAAACTTCCTAATATCGGGAAAGGAAGTTGTGATATGTTGTGATACGGTTTGCTTGGACCATTTCTCGGTCATTTGTTTAATTGTGATTGGTTCATTTCTCGATTTAATCATGTTTCATGTTTGACGTTTGTTTTGGAGATAGAACCGAGACTTGGATGGCAAGGTGCACATGTTATAGCCATGCTTGATGTTCTCTTGTATAAACTTTGCTATTGATCTGCCATTGATGCGGGTGCGGTAACGGCTGACTTGTGCTAATGGCGATCCCCTCGTCCTCGCTTGATATTAGTAGGTTTACTTGCTGAGTCTCCCCGACTCATCCCCTGTTGTTTCCCCTTTTTCAGGTCCGTAGGACGGCATCTCCCCCAACCCGCGTTGGCAATCCCGTGGAGCAGAGAGCCGAAGTGCTCACCGTGATAGATGTCAGAGAAGACCGTGCCTATTGTCGAATCACGATGCTTGTGACGATTCGATGAGGGCCTAACGGACTTGGTGCCTCATCCGTGCGTAGGTTTAACGGTGCTTTGGCGGTGTGGG